AAAGGCTTTCGATTGTGTGGATCATGACAAGCTATGGACAACATTGAGAAGTATGAGTATTCCAGAACACTTAATTGTACTCATGAGGAATCTGTACCTGGACCAAAAAGCAGTTGTTCGAACAGAACATGGGAACACTGAATGTTTTAAAATTAAGAAAGGTGAGCGACAAGGTTGTGTTCTTTAACCATATTTATTCAAACTGTATGGTGAGCAAATAATACGAGAATCTGGCTTTTGTGAAGAAAAATGTGGCATCAAGATTGGAGGAAGACTCATTAACAACCTGTGATATGCAGATGATATAACCTTGCTTGCTGAAAGTGAAGAGGTATCTATCTCATCAAGTGGAATGAATACATCATTACATAACTGTCAAATTTCATCATTGCATAACCGCCAAACTGCATCATTGAATAATTTCCAGATTACATCATTACATAACTGCCAAACCACTGAGAATCATTCCCTAGACAAGTTGTCATGTATTATTGGGGGACACGATTCAAATTCATAACAGCTGAGGTAACTACGACTCAGGCCAAGTGGTTTGTCTACAATCAGACAGTTCACAACAGTGATTTGTTTTTAACCATTGTTGAAGAGATAACTGAGCTGTGGTTATCTCCTCTGTTATTCTACCCACACATTTGATCTGATGACGTTTAAAAAGCCTGTTGTATTAGTGACCTAGGAAAAGTCAGTTCCTGAAAAGTATTAGTCTGCCAGTCAGCCAGTTTATGTTGTTTGGTGCCATCCAGTCAGTTCCATCTCATAGTGATCCTGTGTCCAGTAGAGTAAGACACTGCTTGGTTCTGTGCCAGATTATGGTGGTTGTGGTTATGTGCCATGGAGTTGGTTCCGACTCATAGCGATGCTGTACAGGGTTTCCGAGACTAAGCCTTTACGGGAGCAGAAAGCCTCATCTTTCTCCGGCAGAACAGCTGGTAGTTTCCAGCTGCTGACCTTGTGGTTCATAGCCCGATTCGTAACCACTACGCTACCAGTGTGAGTAAAGTGTTGGCAGTACATTTCCAATTTTGTGTATCAGCTACTTACTAGTTGGAGCCCTGGTGTGGCACTGTAGGATAAGCACTGGACTGCTAACAGAAAGATTGGTGGTTCAAACCCACCAGCCACTCATTGGAAAACCCTATACCGGTCGCTGTGAGTTGGGACTGACTCGATGACACTTATCATCTACTAGTTGGGTCAATAAGAGGTCATTTTCATCTGTTTGGGTTTTTTTTAATGCTTTATTGTGGATTATGTGATAGTTTATATGGGAGGACATCAGCTTCACATTGATCCCATTGTATATCATTTCCTTGTCATGCTTACAATCCCTTCCATGCATCATGCATCACTGTCTGGTTTTAAGTCATGAAAAATACACATTTTTTCTAAATTGCTAGTTTTTTACATGTTCGGGTTTATACTTCTCTTTAGAAATTTTTCATAGGGAAAGGTTTATTCAATATATGTAAAGTAAAACATGAAGAACAAAGTTACAGAAAAATTCAGCCCTTTATTTCCTTGTTGAATTTAAGAAGTTATGCATTAAGAAAAAGAAACAAACAAGTCATGTGTATACTTATAGATTCTTTTCAATAGAAAAATGAAAAAAAATATTTCTAAGGTTAATGTGAATATCCTATGTGTCTTGTATTCTTTGTGATATTTTCTTAGAACTTATATTGTAGTTAAATTGGAGTATATAAAAATAGCACCTTATATTTTGTGCTTTTGATGCCACCTCCTCTCTTCCCCCTCAGAGAGCAGAATTGGGCTCATTTCTTTTTAAAGGGGGATATTCAGTACATATGGGTAGTTCAGGAGTTCCATACACAATGTCTGCAAGCCTGCCAATTGCTCTGCGGGAGAAAGATGCGGCTTCCTATTTCCACAAAGATTTAAAAAGCCTTGGAAACCCTGTACAGGTTTGCTATGAGTTGAAATGGACTCAACAGCACTTAACGACAACAGTTCAGTAAATATCATGGCTTTAAGTAAGAGGGAAATAATTAAAGATATGGTATAATGTGAACAACTTGAGTTAGTATTCGTGTAACACCTTAATTCAGTTGTTTCTTTTTCATCAATTGTGCTCATATATTGTACGCCCCCCCCCCTTTTCTTTTATTGTGAACTGATAATTTACATGCGAGAACATCAGCTTTATACCATCATTTCGTTGCACTGATGACAGTCTCCTCTGTGCATCATTCAACAGTATTTGCTTCCATTCCCACTGTTTTTCTTTTCTTTTCTTTTTTTGGGGTGTGGGATGGGATGGAGGGATGTACACAAATACACTCAGGAATATATAATCATTTAAACAACCAAAGTGGACATTCTGCAGACCTGCCTCCTGGTTACCAGCTCTCAGTCCCTCTTTTTTTCCATGAGTCTAGAGTCTTCAGCTCCTCCCTCTCTCCATGTTCTCATCTCTGCCTTCATCTCTGGTGTCGCTGCTTCTCTGGATAAGGTCCCGCATTCAGCTAATTTCTCCATTAATGGTACTAGGGTCCTCTGTTTCTGGACTGTAAGACTAACTACTTCCCCATTATTGTTACAAAACTTCTACCTTTACAGTTGTGACAGTTGCAATTAGTCATGATAACAACTACTCACTATTGAATCATAGGAATCTTATTTCCATCTCTTTTCACCAGACTTGTCTAGACTAGATGAAAACTACTCAATGGGGACACTGTCTTCCCCTGCACACTCTTAAACTAAACTCCCTTTTGAAAACTTGTAAGCCAGTCAATTTGTACCTTTATCGCCCCCTCATTTTAGGTAGCCGATGTCTAAGTTGCCCGTCCTTATTTATCCTGTGTACAGAGGGGATAGGATTGATATTTGATGTGAAGACTCCTTCTCTCTCAGTTGGTATTTTGAGCTACTACATCCATAATGAGGAGTCCTGGTGTGGCTCTGTGGGTTAATGCGCCAGACTGCAAAGCCATTTGAATACAAGGTTGGTGATTCAAGATCAATAACTGCTCCTTGGAAACCCTATTACAGGGTCGCTATGGGTCAGAAACGACTTGAAAGCATTTAACAACAACAAACACCCATAATTATAGGTCAAGTTCATCATACTGTAGCGATTTACCCTAGTGTTCTTTATCAAAACTTGTTTTTTTTTTTAAATCTTCCTCTAGTTGAGTTTTGATTATCAAGCCTTCAGGGCTACTCCAAATGGATACTATCTGCAAATTTGGGTGTTCTTGTGCATCTCCCCTCACTTCATGTCAGCTGGATGCTTCACACACACTGTTCTCTTGATGTGAAGAGTGGTAGACGTTTTCAAACTCTTTGGTTTTGTCCAAAGTTTAATTGTGTTGGTTTTCATTTACATTGCCTTCTCTACTGATTGGCTGTGTTTTGTGTGGCCTGGTAGTAATGCCCTTTGTTCTCTTTCAGATCCTTGCGTGTCACTGAGTCCACCGTGCTTCACAGAAGAAGATAGGTATAGTCTGGAAGCTCTTCAAACAATCCATAAACAAATGGATGACGACAAAGATGGCGGCATCGAAGTTGATGAAAGTGATGAAGTAGGTGCAAGAACTTGCCCGCTGATGTTCTCTTAAAATTCTTAGAACGAATGAGTTTTGGGACTTAAAATTTCCCATATGACCCAATCCCTTTATCTTCAACGTCTGTAGTTTTTCTCATTATGCTTTAATTTTATCCTGTTTGCTTGGCTTTGCTCTTTTTACATACATTTTCAAGTCTCCTTGGTTTAATCAGAATCCTCAGTCTCATGTAATTTAGTTTCTTCAAACACATCCTATTCTGACTATACCAGTTGTCTATTGCTGCTTATAAATCTCTCCCAAATTTAGTGGGGTAAAATAGCAGCAGTTTATTATTTCTCCTGTTCTGTGGATTAACTGGGTTAAACTTGGTAGCTTTTCTGTTCTCCTAGTTATGGGATACATTTATTTGGATCTCTTCTGGACTAGAGTATTTAAGATGGTATCTTATATGTCAGGAGCTCTCTTTCCACATCCTTTCATCATCAGGAGTCTAGCTCAGGGTTTGCTACTGCATGTTGATTAGCTTCCAGGTGGTAGTGTTCCAAGACTACAAATTCCCATGTGCAAGTATTTATCATGCCTCTGCTTACCAATGCTTGCTAATGTCACTTTGGCCAAAGCAAATCACTTGGCCAAGCTCAGAGCCGATATGGGAGAGAATTATACAAGGGCATGATACTAGGTGATGTGGTTCATTGGAGGTCATTTATGTAATAAGCCACCCTACCCACTGCCTTTATCACTTGAGTATTCTGTCTTTTCCCTGATCTGGTTTCTTCCTTATTTTTTCCATTGAAATTGTTGGCCTTATTTGTCAGTGATCTCATTTTAACCAAATCCTCTTTAGCTTCTTTGTTGTGTTTATCAATGTTGAAATACTTTTATTTTATATTAAAACTATACTATATTATGTTATGGAGTCCTGGTGTGGCGCTGTAAGGTAAGCACTGGACAGCTAACCATAAGGTTGGCAGTTCAAACCAACCAGCCACTCCGTGGAAAACCTACACAGGGTCACTATGAGTCAGAACTGACTCAATGGCACTTAACAACAATGACAACAGATTATGTAGCCCTGGTGTGGCGCTGTTGGATAAGCACTGGACTGCTAGCCGCAAGGCCAGTAGTTCAAGCCTACCAGCTGCACCTCAGAAATCCTCTATAAAGGATGACTGTGAGTTGGAATTGACTCAACAGTGCTTAAAAACAACAGATATTATGTTACTCTCTACATTATTAACTTCCTATAATCATGTTATCTAACTGCATTGCTGATCTAACAGTGACATTTTCTAAGGATTAGTTTTTGACTGGCTGTATAAAGTATTTTTAAGTATTGAAAGTGCTCATCTATTTTCAGTTTTTTCATATTTCTTCCGTCTCTTAATGTAGTCCACATTCCTGACCTGCTTTCTCCCTGCACTGCTTTCTCCCTGACATCTTTATTCTTAGTTTTGCATGGACTACATGTGTCAAAAAACAAACTTAGCTCCCTTATTTCACATTCCTCGCTGTTTGATGGCACTTCGAGAGCTGTTGTTGTGTGCTGTCGAGTTTGTCGGTGACTCACAGTGACCCTGTAGGGTTTCTGAGGTGGTAAATATTTATGGGAGCAGAAAGCCTCATCTTCCTCCCTTGGAGTGGCTGGTGGATTCAAACTGCTGACTGTGTAGTTAGCAGTCCAACGTGGAAGCTACTACGCCACCAGGGTTCTACTTCCAGAGCGACCTGTCATTACTCTAGGCACTTTTAAATCTGGATTGACAGAGCATCTGAATCTGCAGCCTAACTACTGCTCAACTCTGCTGACCCCTGCAAATCTGTGGTCTGAAAATTGATCCCTTTTGTTTTCTTTCTCGGTGTCGCTTTAGTTCTTTGCTTGCTCAATTTTAGCTACTATTACCTTATTTATAGATTGGTGTTGTTTAGTGTCATCGAGTCAGTTCTGGCTCATAGCAACCCTGTATAGAGTTTCTGTAGAGAGGCTGGTGGGTTTGAATTGCTGGTCTTGCAGTTACCAGTCCAGTGCTTATCCTTCAGCACCATACCAGGATTCTATATCTAGATTGCTGTTTGTTGTTGTTTAGTGCTAGTTGAGTTGGTATTGACTCATAGTGGCTCAGTATAAGGTTTTCGAGGAGCAGCTGGTGAGCTTCAACTGCCGACCTTGTGGTTCAAATTGATCTTGCAGTTCAGTGTATTAACTCGCAGCACCACACCAGGACTCCATATATAGATTGTTGTTATTGTTGTATGCTGTTCAGTCAGTTTCGACTCATAGCAATCCTTTATAGGGTTTCTGAGGAGCATTTGGTGAGTTTGAACCACCGACCTTGCAGTTTTAAACCAACCTTGAGGTCAAGTGCTTATCCTACTGCATCACACCAGGACTCCCATATCTAGATTGGTGGTGGTAGTACTGTGCTGTGGAGTCAGTTCTGACTCGTACCCACACTATATAGGGTTTTCGAGGCAGTAAATCTTAACGGGAGCAGAAATCCTCATCTTTCTTATGCAGAGTGGCTGGTAGTTTCCTTAAGTTTAGCAGCCCTACTCGTAACCACTGTGCTACCAGAGCGCCTTACTGTCTCTTAAAAATGTCCCTCTAAATCCCTTACGGATATCACTGAAAATTATTTCTCTAGAAAATTTATAACAATTCCTAATTGCTTATTAGATCAGATATTAATTCTCCAGTCCTTATAGTTAATGTGTTGGAATTAATTGATTTCTGCTTACTGAGACAATTGTGTTAAATCGTCTTGGAGCTCAAGACGGTCATGCCAAAATCACAGCTTTAATTTTTAAAAAACAATTTATCAATTTATTTCATTCATTTCTACAACTATAGACTATGCAACATCTTGAATTAAAAAAAAAAAAAAACTTGAAATATAAAAATACTTCTTCCTGTTGGTCATAAAGAAGAGTGGATGAAATGAAATAAGCCAATTATCACAAATTTTACTGCTACTGGAAGCCAGTGTTAACTAGTAGTTAATTATTGTGGGCAGTTTTTATATTGACTAAAATCATTTTATTATAATTCATTTTATAAACATTGTCATTGTTCTCTTACTCTATTGAGACCCACGCACTCTATCAAACTGTAAGATTATTTGTTAGTGAAAATAATCTGGATTATTAGAGATAAATGTTGTTGCTGTTAAGTGCCGTTGGGTTGGTTTCAACCCAGAGCGATCCTGTGTAGGGTTTCGGAGGAGCAGTTGGTGAGTTTGGACCGCCGACCTTGTGGTTCAAGTGACCTTTGCAGTCTAGCACATTAACCCACAGCCCCACACCAGGACTCCTAGAGATAGATAAGTCTTTTTTAATCCTCCCTAAAAACTTTAAACTATTTGTTTAGGCTGTCGATACATATATTTAAGAACTTTTCATACTCAATTCAATCATGGCATAAATGGAATATGTTCATTTACTTGTGTTTTTTGTTGAGGTAAATGATTCTCTATTCTAAATAGTTTATACTATTACAGTCTGTGCTCTTTTCACGCAATTTCGATGTCAATTCTGAAGGTAGATAGTATTTAGTAGATGGATGCCCTGTGCAGTTTCATAATTGTTTCCACAAATTGGAGACAACTTTTACAGTAAACCTTGTGGTGGTGGTGGCCGTTGCTAGGTTCTAATAGTGACTTTACTGTGGACAACAGAATGAAACCCTGCCTGGTGGTGTTCACAAGTCCATTTTTGCAGCCGTTGTATTAATCCATGTTATTGAGAGTCTCCCTCTTTTTTTCTGATCCTCCATTTTACCACGCATGATGTCCTTTTCCAGGGACTGGTCCAAAGTTATGAGAAATGACGTCTCATCATCCTCACGTCTAAGAAGCATCTTGGCTGTACTTTTCCCAAGATAGATTTGTTTTGTTCTTCTGACAGTCCATGGTATATTCTGTATTCTTCATCAATGCTATAATTTAAATGCATCAATTATTTATTTATTTAAAAATTATTTTATTTTATTTTTCTTTTTTTAGGGTCGAATTAGTCAGGCTGGAATCCATTTTGGAGAGCTTCATCAATTATTTTTTGATCGAATGTATTCATTACCCACTTTTTGCATGCCTATGAGGTGACTGAAAATACCATAGTTTGAGTTCAGCTCACCTTCGTCCTGAAAGTGTTATCTTTAACATTTTACAGAGGTCTTTTGCAGCACATTTACCTGAGCAATATGTCATTTGGTTTCTTTCTTTGAACATTTGATTGTGGTTTGGATGAAGGTTTGCATGAGTTTCCCACTCAACAGGTTATGCTCACTGTGTTTCCTGATACAAGTTTGTAATTCCCTCACTGTAGCAGCCCCCTTCCCACTTCCTTCCCGGGCTCTTTGTTTTTAATTCCTCCATCACCATGGTCCCTTCCTTCCTTCTTTCTGACCTTGGTTTTTGGGCAAAATGCTGCCCTTTTGGTCTCCTGTGACTGACTGTTCTGAGGAGCGTCTTCCTCAGGGGTGATATTGTTCACTTGATAGTCATGTGTGTATTGTTAGGCTGAAAGGTGAGCTCCAGGAGGGGGTTCACTTCCAGGATTGAAGGGGGGCCTAAGGGCCATAGTCTTCCCTGAGCATCCATCGTGGATCCAAGTAAAATGAAATCCTGACAACTAAGCATGTCCTGCATTTATCAAGATGTTGCTTGTTAGTCTAGATGTGAGGACTTTTGTTTTCTTTATGTTGAGGGGTAATCCTTACTGAAGGCTGAAGTCTTTATCTTTATTGTGAAGAGCTTCAGATGCTATGCTGAAAAGACTTAACAGGAAAGCTCACGTTTAACTAATTACACTGCAGGAATTACACTAATTCCTTTATTTTGCTATCAGTCACTAGGACCAGATCCCATTGTTTTTACTTAATAAAATAATTATAATTAGTTTTTGACAGGGAGGGGGGGTATGATTGAGGGAACATATATGATTGATTTTTAAGAGCATTTTGAAATGTTTGGAAACAAGAGTTCAGTGTTACTTTATAACACTGTAGTTTTGGACCA